TACCCGCCGCCCCACGCCATGCCGGGGCACGCCTCCCAGCCGCCTCATCCATACATGCACCCGCCGCCGTTCGAGTCCGCTCCCCCGGCCCCCGCCCCGCCCCCCGCCGACCCGGAGCTCCAGAAGCGCATCGACAAGCTCGTCGAGTACATCGCCAAGAACGGGCCCGAGTTCGAGATCGTGATCCGCGACAAGCAGCACGACAACCCGGACTACGCCTTCATCTTCGGCGGGGACGGCCACGCCTACTACAGGTACATGCTCTGGGTCACGGGGCGGCCCCCCATGGCGCCCTACCCGCTGGGCTCCGTGCACATGATGCCGCCGATGGGCCCGATGGCGCACGGGCCGCCGCCCCCGATGCACCAGCCGGGGTACCCGCCCTTCTACGACCAGCACCAGCACTTTGGCGCCCACGGCCACGGGGAGTATGAGACCGGGGCGACGTTCAAGGGCCTCTCTGGGCCGCTCCCCGCGGATGTCGCCGCGGAGCTGCACGATGTGCTTACCAATCTTAATGGCACCAAGGAGTCGATAAAGGGTGCCAAGACATGGTTTATGCAAAGGGCTCCATTTGCGCCGGCTCTGGCGGAAGCTCTGAGGGAGAGACTATTTGCCTTGGAGGATTCAGAGAGGCAGCTCCACATTGTTTTCCTGGTGAATGATATTCTTTTTGAAGGGTATGTTTTCATTTCGGCATCTATTTTGTGAATATAATTGCTTGCCTTATGACTTGTCAATTAAGTGTAGTTAATTTGAGCTACTTCCAAGCTGGTAGGAACCTGATTTAAGAAATGCATTAACTTTGATTCGATCGAAATACCGACATAGGAGGTGAATTGCAATTGACAGATCTTATTGCCATCTTAGCTTATTATGGGCCCCTTTTTCTTTGGAGTAGGAGTTTTATAAGATTCTAACCCATAGGGATTTTTCTTATAGAGGCCCTTTAGATTGCTTTCCCAAATCAATAGGAGTACTAGCCAGAGGCTAGACCTCTTGGAAATTTTCAGTTTGTGTATTGCATGCACTTTTCGTCTCTTCAAACCCCTGCAAAAATTTCTGGAGCATCCAAAAAGCATATGTGCAAATTCTTGTGTTCTGGTCTTCTTTAGGATTCAATAGGCCACCACATCCCAATCCTACATTTTTATTATTCCTACGTTTTTAGAATCCAACGTTCCAAAGAAGCCATAAAAGATTGTCTAGAAAAATGCAGTAAAGAAGGTCCTTCCCATTTTTTAGTATCAAAGCCACTTTCTCTTCAAAATTTAAAGTGTCAAATGAATGCCATTTGTATGGCCTTACCTGACCCTGATTCATTTTGAAGACCAATGTATGAGTGAAGATAATAAAAATATAAACAAAATAACTGTTATAGGCTACTCCGATACTTTATTTATTTGTTGTACCAATATTAGATCTCGTATTTGATATTGATACCCTTTATGATATGTATTACCAAGTATCAAAATGATTTCCATTTAGAAGTTGTACTATGCATCTCCGCTGAGGGGCAATCACCTTGTCAATACAAGCGTTAACCCCAATAACCAATGCATTATCTACCATAGACCAGCCATAGTTCTTCCTTCCTCTCACATGTAATCATGCAGAACAACACCTTCCCGAGCACCTGCAACATAAACATCACGCTCCAATCGTCACTGGCAGGAACTGGATGATGCTATCTTGTTGCATCCTTCCTTCCTCTTGTCTCTACTCCTTGGAGTCTTGATAGTATCTACTATATTGATGCATCCTTGTTTTGGGAAGATTTAGTATCGAGGCATCTGTATTGCATATCAGGGCACACTAGATCTTACTTGTCGTTCCTATTAGGGGGATATCCTGGGTGTCATGACTGTGACTTAATTGGGATTTTCTCGTTTAGAGATGAAAATGTTACTGCCAAGCCTAAGTAGGCCTCGGGAGAACTTGTGCTGCACTCATAAAGTTATTTTACTTTAGCTTTTGCCTCTATCCATTTGTTAGGAAGGCCACTCAGTATTAGTTTCCTCACAGATATGGAATGAAATTTTATAAGATTCTAACCCATAGGAATTTTTCTCACAGATGCCCTTTAGATTGCTTTCCCAAATCAATAGGAGTACTAGCTAGAGGTTCGACCTTTTGGAATTTCTCAGTTTGTCAGTTTGTGTGTTGCATGCACTTTCGGTCTCTTCAAACCCCTGCAAAAACTTTGTGGAGCATCCAAAGAGCATATGTGCAAATTCTTGTGTTTTGGTTTTCTTTAGGATTCAATAGGCCACCACATCCCAATCCTACATTTTTACTATTCCTATGTTTTTAGAATCTTGTCTAGAAAAATGCAGTAAAGAAAGACCTTCCAATTTTCAGTATCAAAGCCACTTTCTGTTCAAAATTAAAAAATGCCGAATGAGTGCCATTTGATATAACCTTACTTCACCCTGATTCATTTAAAAGACCAATGTATGACCAGAAGATCAAAATATAAACAAATGATTGTTATAGGCTACCCTGATACTTCATTTATTTGTTGTAGCAACATTAGATCTTGTATTTGATACTGATACCCTTTATGATACGATTGTTATAGGCTACTCTGATACTTTATTTATTTGTTGTAGCAACATTAGATCTCGTATTTGATACTGATACCCTTTATGATACTTATCACCAAGTATCAAAATGATTTCCATTTAGAAGTGATACTATACATCTCCACTGAGGGGCAATCACCCTGTCAATACAAGCCCAGTAATCAATGCATTATCTACCATAGCCAGCCCTAGTTGTTCATTCCTCTCGCATGTAATCACGCAGAACAACACCTTTCCTAGCACGTGTAACATAAACAGCATGCTCCGAACGTCACTGGCAGGAACTGGATGACGCTATCTTGTTGTGCCCTTCCTTCCTCTCGTCTCCACTCCTTGGAGTCTTGATACTATATTTGAAGTATATATGTATACTAGCATATTGATGTATCCTTGTTTTGGGAAGATTTGGTATCGAGGCATCTGTATCGCATATCAGGGCACACTAGATCTTGCATGGTGTTCCTATTAGGGAGATAGCCTGGGTGTCATGACATGACTTATTTGGGATTTCTCGCTTAGAGATGAAAATGTTACTGCTAAGACTAAGTAGGCCTTTGAAAACTTGTGGTGCACTCATAAAGTTATTTTACTTTAGCTTTTGCCTCTATCCATTTGTTAGGAAGGCCACTCAATATTAGTTTCCTCGCAGAATATGGAATGAGATTGATTTGGTGAGATATTAGCAATATCAAAATCAGCTTGTAAGAAATAATATACCAATAACAACATGAGAATGGTATTGAAAAATGGACTACTGTTTCATGATATCCGACATGTATGATGCATAGCAGAGTGTATTGCTGTAGCTTGTCCCACTCAATCTCTGTTTGGCTATGATTTTTAATAGTTTCATCTGGTTAAGCTGCTTATTAATCGAATCTATTATGTCACACCATCAAATTACACTGGACTTTAATTGTGCATATTTAATGTATTAATGGTACTTTTCTTAACACAATTCCATATCCTACAGCTTGCAGAGACGAGCTAATATTCAGGACCTTGACAATGAGGCTATTGCTTTTCAATCTGTGCTGGGCTCCATGCTTGTGAGGATTTATAATAATCCGCAGAATAAAGATGAAAATCAGACTCGCCTTGAGAAAATCCTGCAATTCTGGGGTTCAAAGGAAGTTTATGACCAGGAAACCGTTGCTAACCTTGAAAGAGAGATGAAAGGAGGCATTTCATATCCTTCGGCGCCACAACATGTTTCACCAGATCCCTCAACCTTCTCAGGTTTTTTTCTCTCCCCCTCTTCTACTAACTCTGCTTATACTGTTCTGTCTAGGTGGTTATTATCATCTTTTCTCATCTGTGTTTAGCTTTTAGGGTACCAGCATTTACATTATAAGGTTTTGGTGTAAGTTTGGCGTATTTAACCTATAGATTTTGGTCCTATTATCATTTTGTCCTTTTGCTTTGATAACTCAAAGGTTGTAGTTATATGTTGATGCCCTGAAACTTTATAGGCTGGTTACTTTGAGATATGTAAACAGTTTGCCAGGCTATACAGTAAAGATAATAACCGAAGTTACTGCACCACTGAGATCTAGGCAGAAATTTTCTGGACTAAAATCCTTTTTCACCAATCAGATTTGTATACATAATATAACTAAAAATAATAATTTGACCATGCTTGATCACACGGGTTCTCTAAATTCTCCAAATTACTTGCCTGCTGTTACACTAAACCAAATATCTTTTATGATGCATTTCATTTATCTTTCGCTTGTTGGAGGCAAACCTAAGCACAATTGATGGATATCTTTTCAGGATCAGCAAAGCCCTCAAAATGGTCCTCTGCTCCGCCAGAGATGGAGAAGGCATTCCAACCTGCCCCTTCTGCACAATTTCCAGGAAACCAACATCCTGCCGGCGTTTACGGCCAAACTACTTTTCCAGGATCTTTGCCAGTGCAACCATCTTTACTCCCCCCTGCGCTTCCTCAAAGCACAGCACCAGCCAATGCAAATGATCCAACTCCACCTCCGTATCCACTATTCCCCCCTGGGCTCATTCCAGGAATGGTCCGGAAGATGCAGATCGGTAGTGGAGTTCCATACTCTCCCTTGAGCCCACTCGACATCCCCACGACCATCCCACCATCGACCGTTCCTGAGTCCGAGATCCTCGAGCGCGTGACGAGGTTCTTCAAGGAGATCGGGGAGGAGAACCCGTCAGAAGGTCCGATGAAGCAGGGCGAGCCTGGTGACTATGATGACTACGAGAGGGAGCTCCCTGCCCGCAAGGGAGGTGCGTGCATCCCACCCCCCGCCAGCCTGCACGTGAACCCTGAGACCGGGATGCGCGCTGATGGCTCGTTCGATAGCAAGCCGGGGTCTAGCGGACGGTTGGGCCTTGGAGCCTCTGCTGATCCGAGTGAGGTGAGCCACCAGTATGGCGATGTGTATTCGTCATATCGCAAGCAGAGGAGCAGCAACTACCATTCTTCCATCAGTTCCCGCGCAGTAGCGCCGAGGTGAAAACGGCGGACGAGCGTTTCCATATCAATTTCTTCCTGCTGTGTGTAACTGCAAGAATGTACCTTAGTAGACAGAACTAAATTGTCAGATGATTGTGCAATGTAACATTTTCCTTTTTTTCACGGCAAAACTTTGAACCGCAGCTTCTTAGTTTTGGGAAGAGTAGCCTGTTGGTAGTTGCAAATGATTTTTGTTTCATAGATGTGATCCTTCAGTTTTGATTATTCTTCTTTTCTTTTTTTGCAATCAAATTGTAAAATTTGTGTCCTGGGAACATTTTGCGGTAGGAGCCGTATGGGCAACAAGATTTACATAGCATGGATTGCATTTGCAGCAATTCTACCCCGTGGTGTGCTTGTGCTGCGGTGCTGACAGGAGTATTCCACTGACGCAGAACACAGGCTCAATGTTGTTTCATCAGAACATTGTCTTGTGAAGGCAGTGTTGGCACAAGAAGATCGCAACAGACAGAGAAGCATGCATGCTGTATCTATCTGACCTTGGAAAATTTATTTTTTCAATGTACTAATTTTTATATTATGTCCATGGCAAAGAAAAAAAAATGGCCATCTTTGTAGACCATGACAAATTTTGTACAATGGCAAAAAAATTAAATCATATAAAAAAATTCTTACCTTGGGAAAATTTATTTTTTCAACGTGATTTTATATTATGACCATGGAAAATTTATTTCTTGGTGTCGAAACCATGTTAATCTTCCATAATTTTACACCAATTGCAAGCTTACTATCATGGACCGTCGTTTCTTTTACCATCTCAAATTTTATACCAGGCCTATGGCAGAAAATTGTACTAGGCCTACGACATAATTCTGCTTTTCTTTTGTTTGCTCTCTTAATTTGCTCTGCTTTTGAAGAAAAAATATTAGCTGATAGTAGAAAAGAAGGTACTCCCATCATTTATGTGTTGCAAGGTGCATTTGAACTAGAAACATCAACTAAGGAGGTTATAAGATCCAAGAGAATGTCAATACGGGAATGACCCTGATTTAGCGTGTCAGTGTCAGTATTGGGTTGCTCAACCTCTTACTCCTTCCGGTCCTTTTTAGTTCGCATATAAGATTTGACTAAAATCAAGCCTCGTAAAGTTTGATCAACTTTATAGAAAAAAAGTACCAACATTCACAATCTGAAATCAATATCAATAAATGTGTCATGACTTAAAGTTTCATATTGTATAACTTTAGCATGGCAGATGTTGATATTTTTTCATATAAATACGGTCAAACTTTGTGAATTTTGACTTCAGAGAATTCTAATATGCAGAGTAAAAAGAACCGGAGGGAGTACATGCCTTTGCATACGACTGATTAGTTTTAGATTGGGTTTTAAAGTTTATGGGGTTTGCTAGGAATCAGTGCTTCCCTACCAACTGGCCAAAACTGATAATGACAACCTTTGTCCGAATACTGTAGATGTGGTTTATTGAGTGTCTTCTGTTTGCATTGGGCCATTGAATGCTACTCTTCTGTGCTATCGGTGAAATACAGCAGCAGCTATTATATGTTCAACAAAACTAGTATGTGTTCTACATTCTTATTTTATGCATGTTGAAAAAACTTATACCATGGCAAATTTATTTTTCCAAATCTTGCCAACTTTATTTTCTCTGACATTGGAAAATTTATTTATTTTTCTTTTTGAGGGAAAGTAACTTTTATTTTTCAACATGTCGAATTTTATATTGCAAATTTTCAACCACGGAAAAATTTATTTTTGGACCATGGAAAAAAAATTAGACCATGGCAGTTTTTACTAGTTCAGCCATGATCATTTTATTTTTAGACCATGGCAAATTTAATTCATGTACGATGGAAAATTTCATTTTTTAAATCATGTCAACTTTATCTTTTTCTGACCTTGGAAAATTTTATTTTTTATCAACATGCCAAATTTTATATTCCGACCATGTCATTTATTTCTTTGTGTCAAAACCATGTTAATCTGCCACGATTTCACACCGATCACAAACTTACTTTTATGGACCATTTTTTTTTACCATGGAAAATTTTATACTAGGCCTATGGCAAAAAATTCTACTAGAACCATGGCAAATTTTATTTTATTTTCCCTGGACATTGGCAAATATAGTTGTTTGAACATGGTCAATTATTTCTTTTTGGAACATGTGCATTTTTTATCGAACAAACCTTGGTAAATTCCTTTTTTTGTAAACTTACTTTTATATATGGCTTGGGTTGGCCGAGGGTGGAAGTTGGCAAATTGGTAAACGGTTGCTTTTCCTCTCCTGTAAGCGAAAACACAGCCGACCTTGCGAGTGAAGTCGAGATGCCACCGTCGCAACCTGCAGAGTGAATTTGAAATGCCACCATAGCTTGTCCTCGATTAATTCCCCACGGTGTAGCTATAACAGGTGCAGCCGCGTACGTTTTGTAGCGCGTGCATGCATGCCTCTTCCGTCCTCAGCAGTCCATGGCGGAGGAACAGCGAGTGGCGGCGGAGAGGCGAGCACGGCGCAAGCTGCTGTTCGCCGTCCCCATCATTCCGATCGTGTTGCTCATCGTCGGGTCATGCGCGCTCTTCTTGTTCACGGCCGAACTCCCGCGCATCCGCATCGAGTACGCCTGCCTCGATGGCGCCCGTGACGCTCCGGCCACGAATTCGAAGGAGCCGCCGGAGGCCGTGGTGGTGCAGGCTGTTCCCGGCGAGGAGGAGGAGCAACCGCTGCGCCAGCTGAGCGACCGGCCGTACTCGCTGGGCCCGAACGTGTCCGACTACGACGCCCGCAGAGCGGCGTGGCTGGCCGCGCACCCTCGATTCCCGGCCTTTGTAGCCCCGGGGCGGCCTCGGGTGCTCATGGTCACCGGCTCGTCGCCGCGCCAGTGCAAGGCGGCGGAGGGCGACCACGTGCTCCTCCGCGCGTTCAAGAACAAGGCGGACTACTGCCGCGTGCACGGACTGGACATCTTCTACAGCAACGCGGTGCTGGACGGCGAGATGACGGGGTTCTGGACCAAGCTGCCGCTGCTGCGCGCGCTGATGGTGGCGCACCCGGAGGCGGAGCTGCTGTGGTGGGTGGACTCGGACGCGGTGTTCACGGACATGCTGTTCGAGCCGCCGTGGGGCAGGTACGCGGGCCACAACCTGGTGCTCCACGGCTGGGACGGCGAGGTGTACGGCGCCAGGAACTGGCTCGGCGCCAACACCGGCAGCTTCCTGCTCCGGAACTGCCGGTGGTCGCTGGACCTCCTGGAGGCCTGGGCGCGCATGGGGCCGCGCGGCCCCGTGCGCGAGCGGTACGGGAGGGTCTTCGCGGCGGCGCTGTCGAACCGAGCGGCCTGGGAGGCCGACGACCAGTCGGCGCTGGTGTACCTGCTGGTGACGGAGCGCGGCAGGTGGGGGGACAAGGTGTTTCTGGAGAGCGCCTACCACCTGCACGGGTTCTGGGAGGAGATCGTGGGGCGGTACGAGGAGATGCGGAGCAAGGGGCGGCCGGGGCTCGGCGACCACCGGTGGCCGCTGGTGACGCACTTCGTCGGGTGCAAGCCGTGCGGGGAGCCGGGCGCGACCTATGATGCCGTGGCGTGCCGTGAGGGCATGGAGCGCGCGCTCAACTTCGCCGACGACCAGATACTCGGCCTCTACGGGTTCCAGCACGAGTCGCTCGGCACCACGGCCGTGCGGCGCGTCAGGAACGATACCGGACGGCCGCTGGACGCCGACGACGAAGAGGTCGGCCGGCTCTTGCACCCAGAGTTCAGGGCCGCCAACCCATTGTGATCAGACATCAGAACACAAAGCACGTCATGTTTTACAGACAAGATTTTTTTTTCCGTTTCACTCGCTTTTCACCAGAACCGTTTGATTTACATCCAATGATCATCATCGCGCGCGCGTGTGTATGCTTTGCTTTAACATGTATATTTGCTTTCACACATATACATACACCATAGTTATAAAAATAAATAGAGGAGGAAAGGCGGGAATTAAAAGTTTGAAACCCAAATTTTATTTTATTATCTTGAGCAACCATCATGCTAAATCATTTAATTGGAATCAGAAAATAAATTCATTGGTCATATGAAATTTCTATAACATTTCACACCATACACTTTAGGATGTGGAATTAAGATCAACAAAACGACCTAGTTAAGACAATTTGTTGCAGATCAAAGTATTAAATGGAAATTAAAGTACCATTTGCATTTCAATAACATAATAATAAATCCATTCAAAATGATGAACTATACAGCTAAATGAAAAAATAAAGTTTTCTAAAAAGAAAGAACTAGTGGCATTGGTATTACCTTTATAGAAAAAAGAAAATGAAAAAACGAACAATGAAAAAAACTTGCACACCATTTGCACAGAAAATCTACTATTTTATAATATACAAGAATAAACATATAGTAGCGAAATTTTTGCCTTCTAGTATAATTTACACACCTATTGTACAGTACTTGTACGTGTGCACTTACACATACAACATCCAAAAAGTCACATAAAAAATAAAAACCAGAAAACGTAGAGAGGCAACCGGTAGAACCTGGAACCCTAGCCGCCGCCAGGAGAGTCCAATCTTCCAGCGCCGTTCTCTAGCGACTCCCCTCCACTACTCTCTCGTAGTCTAGGTTTTTAAGCTGTTCATCGTCTTGGCTTCGGCGACGATGATGACAGCGCTGAATAAAGATTCTTCGGATCATTCCCTGACGAGGCCTATGGTTGGAGGTGGATTTGGAAACCAGTTTATTCAAGCAAGGATGGCGTGGTGGCGGCGGCATCCTCGTGGTGGACCTCTGTCCTCGAACTCCGTCATTGCGACGGCGTTTGCTCCAGCGTCGGCGTGGAGCTTGGGAGGTAGTCTAGAAACGAATGCAAATTGTGGTCTGCATCGACAACATCTGAAAGACGAAACATGTGCTGGATTCGTGGTTCATGGATAGCAGGTATGGTTTCTGTTAAGAATAAAGCGACATCATTAGCGCTAAGAGTCATCACATGTGTCCAAAGCGCCGTACGGACGCGAACGTCCGTACGGGCGTCTTCTCGCGCCATGGGCGCCTGTTGTAAACGGACGCCTCTCCGGAGGCACCCCAAATCCTTGTATAAATAGCGCTTTGCCCAGAATCAATAGAACACAAGTTTTCATCAAATCTTTACACGTTATCAGCCACGCCAGCCTCGATCAACAGAGCACAAACAAGAAGAGACGAGAAGATTTCTACGGGAGTCAATCCAATGAAGGAGGAAATGTGCCTTGTGGACAGTGGCATCACAAACTCTATACTTAGGGAAATAAAGTATTTCCAAACTCTTACAAGATTGAATGGGGATATTTTAACAATCGCTGGACACGATGCGGTAATTGTTGGCAAAGGACGTGCCATATTTACCCTCCCTATGGGTACACAAATTGTAATTGAGGATGTTTTATTGTATCCCGATTCAACTCGTACCCTCATAGGTTATAGAGATATCCGCAAAAATGGTTTCCACATTGAAACTTATGAAGATAACAAAGAGGAATATCTCCTCTTTACCAAAGACAACGGATATGGCAAACATATATTTAAGAAAATTCCCTCTTTATCATCAGGATTGTACTACACCTACATAAAACCTGTAGAGCACATTGCGTATAAGGTAATTTTTCAGAATGTAAATGCATTCCAAACTTGGCATGATCACCTTGGTCATCCTGGTATAGGGATGATGAGGAAAATTATCTGCAATTCCAATGGTCATGACTTAAATGAAGCTAAATTCCCACAATCTTCAGATTTTATGTGCACTGCATGTGCTACTGGAAAACTCATTTTAAGACACTCATATCTTAAAATTCAAGCAGAACCACTACAATTCCTTGAACGAATTCAAGGTGATATTTGTGGTCCGATCCAACCATTGTCTGGACCTTTTAGGTATTTCATGGTTCTAATAGATACATCTACACGATGGTCTCACATGTGTTTACTATCTACACGAAACCATGCATTTGACAAAATAATGAGACAAATTATCAAATTGCAAGCTCATTATCCTGAGAATCGAATTAAATCAATTCGAATGGACAACGCTGCTGAATTCTCTTCACATGCTTTCAATGATTATTGCATGGCATTAGGCATTGAAGTTCAGCACTCTGTCCCATATGTCCACACTCAAAATGAATTGGCCGAATCTCTAATTAAGAGAATTAAGCTCATTGCACGACCCTTACTAATGAATTGCAATTTACCAACTTCTTGTTGGGGTCACGCAGTTTTACACGCTGCTGACTTGATCCAATTGCGACCAACTGCATATCACAGCACTTCCCCTCTGCAATTAGTACGTGGAAACCTACCAAATATTTCCCATCTGCGTAAATTCGGATGCGCCACATATGTGCCAATCTCACCACCGCAGCGTACATCCATGGGCCCACACAGAAAATTGGGGATCTATGTGGGGTACAAATCACCGTCGATAATCAAGTACCTTGAACCCCTCATGGGGGATCTGTTCACAGCCCGTCACGCTGACTGCATCTTCAATGAGGACCATTTCCCGCCATTAGGGGGAGACAACAAGTACCAAAAAGAATGCCCGGAAATCAATTGGAATGCCCAAGGCATTTCCTCCTCTGATCCACGTACTCAAGAAACTGAACTTCAAGTTTGAGAAATAATTAATTTGCAACACATTGCAAATAACCTGTCATATTCATTTACTGACTATAAAGGTGTTACCAAATCCTACAATCCTCCTAAAAACGCGCGTGAAAGAGTGGAGGTACCAACAAAAACTACTCAACCCCCTGTTCAAAGGAAAAGGGGGAGAAGTACGGCCACGAAACAGGATTCAGCTCCTCACAAGCAACAAAGGAAACAGAGAAAGAAACTCTCTGAACCAGTAAATCTAAACCAACCTAGCGTTGATAATCATCAAATGGGTAATATACACCCAGTGAAAGAACAACCTCCACAACCCAGCTCAGTTGTGCACAAACTAACTGGGACATTGGAACACCCAGACTCAATCATATTGGGAAATCACGAAGAGTCACTAAGGGTGCAGGAAATTTCTATCAACTACGTTGATTCTGGAGAATCATTTGACCATAAGACTACGACTGTCGACATATATTTTGTTGAAAAGATTGCAGATACCCTTCTCACTGATCATGATCCAAAGACCATGGCAGAGTGCAAGAAACGCTCCGACTGGCCTAAATGGAAGGATGCAATCCAAGCAGAATTAGCCTCGCTCAATAAACGAAAGGTATTCACTGAAGCAATACCTACACCTCCCAGAGTTTTCCCCGTGGGATTCAAATGGGTTTTTGTTCGTAAAAGAAACGAGAACAACGAGGTGGTGAGATATAAAGCAAGGCTCGTAGCACAAGGTTTCACGCAGAAACCCGGCATTGATTTCACTGAAACATATTCTCTAGTAATGAGTGCAACCACTTTCCGATATATTATATCTTTGGCAGTGCAAAATTGTCTATCTATGCAGTTGATGGATGTAGTGACCGCTTACCTTTACGGTTCACTTGATTCGGACATATACATGAAGGTTCCTGATGGAGTCCCAATCCCGAATCCAAACGCAAAATGCAACGCATATTGTGTAAAACTAAATAAGTCTTTATACGGCTTAAAACAGTCGGGTCGCATGTGGTACAACCGACTTAGTGAGTTCCTTTTGAAAAAAGGATACTCCAATAATGATGATTGCCCATGTGTTTTCATAAAAAAGTCCACAACTGGATTTTGCATTATTTCTGTGTATGTTGATGATCTGAACATTATTGGAACAACACAAGATATTGATGAAGCACGCAATCACCTAAAGACGGAATTTGAGATGAAGGATTTGGGTAAAACCAAATTTTGCTTAGGATTGCAACTTGAGCACCTTCCCTCGGGTATTTTGGTTCATCAAACCGTCTATATCCAGAAAATATTGGAGAAATTCAATATGGACAAATCCTATCCATCCAAAGCTCCTATGGTAGTTCGATCTCTAGACGTAGAGAAAGATCAATTTAGACCAACGGATAATGGACAAGAGATATTAGGACCTGAAGTTCCATATCTCAGTGCCGTTGGAGCACTCATGTATCTTGCAAATTGCATCAGGCCTGATATTGCATTTGCAGTGAATTTACTATCTAGACATAGCGCAGCTCCTACTAAACGTCATTGGACGGGAGTTAAGAATATCTTTCGATATCTCCAAGGCACAAAGGATCTTGGCCTATTCTTTCAATTTCAGAGAAATTTGGACATTGATATGATTGGGTATGCTGATGCTGGCTACTTATCTGACCCCCACAATGCCAGATCACAAACCGGTTTTGTGTTCCTACATGGTGGGACAGCCATATCATGGAAGTCTTCCAAACAGACTCTAGTGGCTACATCCACCAATCATTCTGAAATAATCTCTTTATTTGAGGCAACACGTGAATGTGTATGGCTTCGCAGAATGATAAACCACATACAAAAATCATGTGGTAAAGGTTCTATCGAATCTCCAACCATTATCTACAAAGATAATGCAGCTTGTGTTGCTCAAATGCAAACAGGTTACATAAAAAGCAATATCACTAAGCATATTTTTCCTAAATTATTTTCCCCATCAATTACAAAAGAAAGGGAAGATAAACATTTTGCAAGTCAAATCATGCGATAATCTAGCTGATCTATTCACAAAGTCGCTCCCAGTTTCAACATTTGAAAAATATGTTCATGGGATTGGTATGCGACGACTTCGAGATTTGCAAAGATCAGGGGGAGAGCCTCTCTGAATCATAACATGTTCAAACATTATATTGCACCCCTTTTCCCTTTATGAGTTTACTCTCATGGTTCTCATCAAGGTTTTTAATG